GTTTTAACTCCCCATACGAGATCGTTTTTTCATATTTGCCACATCCGTCAACACGTATTAGTAAAAACATTTAAAAGACAGCTAATCTTAAAGCACAATGTTCTATGAAGTTGCCATGATTTTTCCTACTAGAAAGGAGATCAGGATATCAGTCCATAAAATCACATGTATGACGATCATAATCAGAAATAGATTTCAATCACCAGCATCGACGCAGTAAACCGATTTATTTCACCATCTATTTTATAACAGACGTAAATCAAACAGAGGTAAGCTGTGACCCATTTTAGTTTCTAACGTAGCGTTCGATTCGACGTCCGACCAGGAACATTTGCCAATAGTTATCATCAACTATTAATCAAGAAAAATACGGTACCGCGCAATTAAATTAATCAGAGCCGTTTAATAAATCAATTACAAGCTTAATTACGGTAGTCGCGCACGGTTTAACCATCGATCTATCTTCCTGAAACGATCGTTAGAGAGAAGAACCCGCACTGCGTAATGCACGCTGCAATAATAAGGCCTATTACAAAACATTATTCAAGCTCTGCGCACGGTTGCATCGTCACTTTACCAAAACAACCAAACGACCACCGACTGCGTGACACGCCGCGCTTTATCCAATTGATTAATTACCACAATCGATTGCCAGTCCTCTATCTCCCTTCGTCCCGTTTCAAATTGATCGATCTCTCGAAATCGTAATTTTATTCATTGGAAACGCACTCATACTTAAATTGGATTTTTTTCCCTTTTCGTGCACCGTTCAATTCATTATTCATGAATCCAAACGATCCGTTAAACGTACGCGTATTTATAAAATAATTAACGATTTTCATACAGTTAATGAGAATTAAAATTATGTTGCCCAACGTTCATTCATACATAATCTACCAATGGTTATTCCGTTTAATTGATTTTGTAAGATCAAATATTTCGAAATGTTATTAATGAATGATGATTTAATACATTTCATGGTTTCAAAGTGACGTAATCGTGTACTCGAACTGCGTTTGCATTTATTCATATGAGATGCTAGTTATCAAAAATGTACATTGATAAGCAGCATCTAATTAATTATATAACAGAATTATCATTAAAAATTTGAATTAGGATTTAAATAAACATGGTGTACAGAAAACACTGTAGTATAGAACGGGCAGGCGTTAAAATCGCGACGCGTGTTGCAACAGGCGGTGTTGCGGCGCATGAAATTCCAATCTCAACCGCAGTGGGGTCCACGTCTCGGTCAGAGTTTCCGTTTCGTAGGGTAAGTAGGTGAGTAAGTGGTGGGCATAGGCAAGGATGAAATGGAGCAAGACACGCATTGGCGCGTGTCGGGAGTGCCTTCTCGGTCGCAGGCCTTACGTGGGCAGCTTGGGCCTGGCCACTCCGAATGCCTCGCGTCGAGCGGCGTAAGTAACGACGAGCGCGTGCAAGCCGCCTCGCAGCTATGCATACACGCATTGCCACTAGCCACGGCGAACACGGACCCAGCTGACAATGAGATTTACACCGCGACCCTACGCGGGATCGTTTTCAGGCTCGGGTCCTACGGCGTGTCCTGTCAGTATTAAATGGTGAATTATCGAGGTTAGACGTAACAAGTTTTTATGCAGAACTTCAGTTAATTAGAGTTCAAAGAAACATGTTTTTATATTGGGTTGGGGAATAAGTTCGTAGCGTTTTTACCGAAGACTTTTATTTAAACAAAAAACAATAATTATATCAATAAGTTAATCAATTATAGAATCGTTTTATGATCGCAGTTCATTTTTTCCGCCAATTCACGACTGGTTTGGCGACCGTTCTCCTTCAAAAGTGATTTGAGACGTTCTTCATCGAATTCAGAAGGCCTTCCGCTGCGGGACGCGTCATCGACGTTAAAGTCGCCATTTTTTAACTTTGCAAACCATTTCCGTGCTGTAGACTCGCCTATGACACCTTCTCCATACACGTCGCAAATGTCCCGGGCTGCTTCGGCAGCTTTTTGACCTCGATGAAAAGCAAAGAAGAGCAGGTGTCGAAAATGTTGATTTTTGCCTCCTGGGTATTCCATTTCTAAGCCTCAAAACTAATAAAAAATTAAATAACTCAAAAATACAATTAACATAGTTTTGTAGAGCAGAAAGAGTTCTATCGAATGAATACTTACCCGTTGCCAAACAGCAAACAAATCGTTGTAAAATAAAAGAAATTATAAAAACGCTATGAACTTATTCCCCAACCTAATATTAT